GGGCCTTGTGTATCACTCCAATCCTAAGGCCCCACAGAGATGCCAGGTGGATTGGGAACTAGGGGCAGGGAATTGACTCATAAAAGCCTTGATCATGACTCTGACCTACCCTGACTCAAGAGCTTAGCCACTCCTGCCACAGCACACCCTCCACAGCCAGCTCATTCCATCTCTCAAAGTAAAAAGGTTACGGGAGGTGATGGACTGTGCCCACTTTACAGATGGGAAACCTGAGTCTGGAGTAGCTTAGAGTAAGGGAACCAATCTGAGGCTTTTCTACCATGAAATACTGTTGTCCTAAGTATGAATCCTGACTTCATCACAACCTGGTGGTGAATGCCAGGCAGTTACTTCTTCCTGAAATGGAGCATAGGAGAACCTCCTTGAAGTAGGATTGAGTAAGAAAACATAGGCAAAGTGTCTGGCTTCATGCCTGGCACAGCTCTTGAAAGGCAATAGCTATTACTATTTTTGCTATGTTACCCCTACCCCCCACCACGATCACCACCTCCGCTTCTGCTCAAAAGGGCACTGCACCAGGGGCAGCAAACTTGGGATCAAGTCCTGGCTCTTTACTTGCCAGCTGTAGATCCATCCTTAGGCCAAGTACTGTCACTTTTTATGTCTCCTGCTCCTGGGTAAACTATGGAGGCCCATGCACCAATGAGTGGCTCCTAAAAGTACCTGGCACCATAGGAGTCCCTGTGGAGGGTGGCTGTAATGGCCCTCACATCCTGCATGCCCTTTTACCCATGTGACTTTGTAGCTCCTCTCCCTAGGAGCTGGTCTGTCTTCTTCCTCTTGAATCTAGGGGGGCAACTATGACTTGCCTTGACCAATAGAATGTAGTGAATGTAAAGCTGTGCAACTTCCTGGCCTAGGCTTCTCGAGACATGGCAGTTTCTATTGTGCTATCTTGGAGTGCTGAGCCACCACAGAGAAGTCCAGGGAGCCTCCTAGAGAGACCATGTGGACAGAGAAGCCAGCTGGCCTCCAGCCCTTCCAGCCTCCCCAGCTGAGGTGACAGACATGGCCAGAAACCACTTTGGGTCTTTCAGCCCCAGTCAAGTCTCTCTAATCAACACCATGCAGAGCAGAAATGAGCTGTCCTTACCAAGCCCTGCTCAGATTGTAAAACTGAGAACAAATAAATGATTTTTGTTGTTTTAAACCACTAAATTTTGGGGTGGTTGTCATGCAGCACTAGATAACTATTATAGTTTCTTTGTTCTTTCTGCCCCATCTTCACCCAAACTTGGCTTGGATAAGGTCTAGCTCCTTGGCCTCAGGTGATTGAACAAGGGAATGAGCAACTGTCTTTGAGACAACCAATATCCATTGACTGACAGCTGGCCAATCAGATTTGTTTTTCTTCTGAAGAATAGGAATGAAGAAATCAGAGATTTGCAAGCCCAACTGTGAAGGAGGCTGGAGCTAGGCTTTTGAAATGGGAGCTGGGAGTGACTTTCAGCTAGCTGTCATGTCATCAGAGGACACCAAATTGGGGAATCGGGAAGTCAGATCATAGAACCAGCTTCCATGGGGGCCCCAATAAATCACTTAACTGTAGCTCGTCTGTGCTGCCCTGCTCCTTGTAACCCACGAGCACTGATTTCTGACCATAAAACGCTCAAGTTCCCCTGGACTCCTAATACCATTGAGGGGTCTGCACTGCTCTTCACCCTTTTTCCCTTGCTACCCAGACCTCCAACCCTCCAAACGTACACAGGTTATGGCTTTGTTCTCCAGGGCACCAGGGTATGGCCATCTTTCCATCCTGGGCAGACAGGAGTGATGGCCTACTCAGCTCCCATCTTCCCCTCCGCCTCAAGGCCTTTAGTGGCAAAACAGAGGGCATGACCTGGTTTGGTTTCTACCCCAACCCCATTCCAGCTCTTTAGGATCATCTACTGTGTCCCCCATACAGTCCTTGCCAGTTCCTTGCTTGTCCATAGTAATGGCATGCTGATAGCAATGGTCATTACTGCACACCAAACAGGTGCCACACTGAGTTGGGATTTGAACCAAGTTCTGCCTGACTCCAAAGACCATGCCCTATTCACTACTCTGCTGTGTGGCACTAGGCAGGCTATTTCCCTTCTCTGAATCTCAGAGTCTTGCTTTTGAGGAGATAAACCTGGGGGCATGCTGGTGCTTGCTGCTCCCTTAAATACTCACTTTGCTGGGTGCCATCCTTAGCTGGGTCTACTTGCCTGTCCACTGTAGGATCCCAGCCTTATTACCTTTTCTTTGAAGGCAAGCTGTTCATGGAAAAACTAGAGGCCTGGTGTATGAAATTCATGCATGGGAGGGGGGGTGTCCCTCAGCCCGGCCTGCACCCTCTCTAATACAGGACCCCTCGGGGATGTCCGACTGATCAGGCCTAAACCAGCAGTCAGACATCCCTCTCACAATCTGGGCCTGCTGGCTCCTAACCGCTCATCTGCCTGTCAGCCTGATCCCCCTAACTGCTTTCCCCTGCCGGCCTGATCCCACTAACTGCTCTCCCCTGCCCCTGCCTCTGCCTTGGCCCCACCACCATGGCTTTGTCTGGGAGGACATCTGGTCTAATTAGCATATTACACTTTTGTTAGTATAGATACAGGCCTGGTGCACAGGTGGAGGCTGGCTGGTCTGCCCCAGATCAGGGTGAGGGTCCTCTTGGGGGGAGGGGCTGGCCTGGGGTGGTTTTCAGGCTGCCATGCCCCCATCGGGGTGGGGGTCCCCACTGGGGGTGGTTCCAGCCTGGGCGAGGGGCTGAGGACAGTTTGCAGGCTGGTCACACCGCCATCAGGGTTGGGGACCCCACTGGGGGGCATGGCCAGCCTGGGCGAGGGCTGAGGGCAGTTTGTAGGCTGGCCATACACCCATCGGGGTGAGGGTCCCTGCTGGGGGGCATGGCTGGCCCGGGTGAGGGACTGAGGGTCATTTGGGGGTGGTTTGCAGGCTGGCCAAGCCTCCAGCTTTGTCCAGAAGGATGTCCGGAAGGTCTCCAGAAGGTCTTCCATTCTAATTAGCATATTACTCTTTTATTAGTATAGGTGGGCCTACAGGCTGTCTCTGGTGTTGGTCTCCTGGAAAGCAGGCTGAACTCTCAGGATTCAATATCTCGCCTTTCCCCCAATAACTTAGACCCATGCTGAAAGGTGAGCTGAGCATTAGCTCCCTAAAGAGCTTGAGGTGGCAGGACATGCTGACTGCACAAACCCACTGGGTCTGAGGCTGACAGGGACCACTGGACTATGTGGAATATGGGTCTCCAAGGAAGGCTTTGCCTTCCCTTTCCCATCACCTCTGGGTTCAGACTCCTTAGCTGTGTGTGTGCCAGGGCAGAGGGCAGGGGTGGGATGGTATCTGCTCCTCCTCTTTCCCCTTCCAAGGCCGTCAGGCAAAAAAGTAACCTCTCCAGCCTGACTTTCCAGGCTCTTGCCCCCTAAATATATCCATATATCTGGCAGGGCTTTTAACAGTTGAGTTCATTATCTTCTGTTAGGAAAGGACAGTACTGAAATCCAGACCACCTAGTCCGGGCTCTGCCCAGTCCCCAGATTTCTTTGCTTGGGCCAATCCAGCCAGTCTGACCCTGGGCACTTATGCCCCCCTAACTGACTCTCCCCATCTGAAAACAACCTCACAATTTTTGGTTCCAGAGTATCCCCAGGGGTCCAGTTTTCTCAGCAGGCAGAAATGATTTGGCCCCACAAATCACCTGTTCTTACCAGAACACTGAAGCCCCAGGGACCCAGGAATCCCAGAGGGCTAAGGAACAAACCAGGCTGCCTCTTGTGGGAAGACAGTGCTAACCAGGGTATCTAGTGCTGGGCAATTGAAAGACTGTGTTCTGGTCTCTAGAGGTGGCCAGGCCTGTCAGGTTCTTGAACCTTGCATACCACTAGCTTCTTTACATAAAAACCACCCCCATGCTCAAGGAATCCTCTCCTTGTCCCTGTGCTTCCCAAAGTGGTCTCCTGCCAGGTGGGGTTCCCCAGGCCTGGTTCTGAGAAGCCCCGAGCCAGGCTTAGAAGTCTACATCTCTTGGGATCTGGTACTCCCAGCCTCTGGTCCTGTCACTTAGTAGTTGTTTAACTGGATAAGCTCCTAGCTTCTCTGGTTCTGTCTTTGCATCTGTACCAGCAATCATCATCACCTCCATTGGTCAAAGGCTTCCTGAATGCAAGGCACTCCAACAATCAACAAATGTACCTATATTCCCTCTATTAACCTCCTAACAACCCAACATAGCAAGACCAATATGTTACAGATGGGAAGATTGAGGTCCGAGAGGTTAAATAACAACTCCAAACAGCTAATAATTATTAGAACAGGAAGTCACTCAGACCTGACCTCAAACCTCAGAGATGTATAATCACATGACAAGGTGACCTGTGTGTCTCTTTGCACTTCTGTTATCGAGGGCATCCCTTTTCAGGGTTGAGTTTGAAGGTTCTAGGTTTGGTATGAGTGGATGAGGCCACATCTGACCTTCCTGGTCAGCTCATGTACAAATTGATCCCAATCCAGAACACTTCATAGCCCAGGGTAGTCTCAGAGTATGGCCTGGTGGAAGATGGGGCAAAGCTGGGGTGGTGACCTGGGTCTGGGCCATCCAAAAGTGAGCCCCAGAACTGCCTCCTACAGCCCCAAAGACTGGGCGCTCTACATTGGAAGTGACATACAGCAGGCATTCTATAAATGCTTATAGTGAGAGCGGATATTCCCAATCCCTGGATAGGCCTAAGCCAAAGCAAAAGAGGTATTCTGCCTAGGAGACCCCCAAAGCCATGATGCTCATGAGCCTCAGGATATCCCTGTGGGTCTAAAGCCTAGTCCATCCAGTTTATATTTTTGGCAACTGTCCTGGCAGGAGTTTCTGGAAGTCCCTGGCCATGAGCAAGCCCTCCCACAGCCCGCCCCCAACCTGATTCCATGGAGACCCCTTCAGGAGGCCCATCCCCCACCTTGAGATAATAATGACCATAATGAGAACAATCACCCATGTGTGTGCACAGCACTTTACAGGTTACAAAATGTTTCACATACAGTTCATCGATTCCTCACAACAGCCCTGTGAGGTAGGCAGGACAGGGAGTACCTCTTCCATCTGTCTAGATGTAGAGACTGAGGCCCGGAGAGGGACAGTCACCTGTTTTTGGCCACAGGGCAAGTAAGTGGGACAGCTGGGACCAGAAGTTAGGCCTCGTCCCTGCCTCCAGCCCCCGGCTCTCTCGGCTGACTGTGCTGTCCTCCAGGAGGACCCCAGCCTTTGTCCACAGTATCAGCCACACCTGACGCTGGGGAACAGAGGTCAGACAGCCCTGCTCCTGTCTGGCAGCCCTGTCCCCACCACCTGCTCCCAGCAAACAGCCAGCTGGGAAGTAGGCTCACGCCCTCCACCCTGCCTGTTCTTCAGGTTGACCTGGCAGGGTGGGCAGATGGGGCTGGAACCTCCTTTCCTGTTTTCCTGAGTGATCCCTCCCCATAGGGGAAGAGAAGAAAAAGGAGGAAGAGGAGAAGAAAAACAAGAAACTGAGTTGAAAGAGGGCCCTGAAGCAATCAGGATGTCAAAAGTTTGCATTCCAACTAACTATAGGAAATAGTTTTTTCTCTTTTTATTATTTCAAGTTTTCATAAAAATCCATAATTATTGAAACCCAAGTTACAGAGGAAGTTTGTAACTTTTTAAATTGAATTATTGACTGCTGCATGTTCATCAGCTTCTGATTTCAGTCTGTCCATATGTGCTGTGGGTTCCCCAGGCCCAACTTCTGAGGTCCTGGTAGAAAGAAGGGAGGTGGTGAGGGCCAGTGGGGCAGTCGAACACAGGAGAAGGGGCAGGGATGGGTGGCACAGGACCAGGGAGGGAATCCCGACCCATGCTCATATCATCTTCATGTTGAATTTTCGGGGTGCATCGGTGGAGCTGATGCCCGCGTCTGACTTGCGTGGCACGTACTCAATCTCGATGTTGTGTTTTGTGTTGCCCTTGCCCCGGCTCCAGAGAAACAGAAGCACCAGGCAGAAAAGTACAACGCCCAGGAAGGAGATGAAGCCCATGGTGGTGGCAATAATGAGGGTCTTGATGTCGAAGGGAAAAGGCACGGTGGATCGGGTGCTATTGGCCTCTCCCTCACCCGGCTGGTTGGAAATGAAGGCGAAGGTCTTGTTGGGCTGATGGGGCCAATCAGGTGAGTAGCTGCGTACATGCAAGTGGGCGGGCATGGAGTCGTTGCCGCCTGCGTTGGCTGCAATGCACAGGTACGTGCCATTGTCCTGTACCTGGGCATAGCGTACCTCCAGTGTGCCATCAGGGAAGACTGTGAGCCGCCCATTGCTCTTGGCAGAGACCAAGTGCTTGCGGGGTGATAGCCAGAGGATGGTGGGAGGCGGGTCTCCATCGGCCCGGCACACAAACTGCACCGTGTGGCCCTCATCCACAAATACCTGTTGGGCCTTGCGGTCCCGGATGCGGGCACGGCGGCAAGTGAAGTAGTTGGGAAGGAGCACATCGGGGAAGTCCTTGAACTCCTTGCCCTGGACAAACTCAGGCGTGGCACACATGGGCTGCTGCCGGTTGAAGTTGAGCCGCCAGCGGCGCCGGAATACCCACAGAAGCCGGCAGTCGCAGGCCAGTGGGTTGGAGTCCAGGATGAGCGTCTCCAGGTTGCCCACCGAGTGGAAGGCGGACTCCTCCAGTGTGGTCAGCTGGTTGCCAGAGACATTGAGCACACGCAGGTAGTTGAGGCCGCGAAAGGCATAGGGCTCCACCATAGCCAGCTGCCCACCTACCAGCTGGATCTCCTGCAGCCGTAGCAGCTCATGTAACATGGAGCCCTCAATGGTGCTGATGGGGTTGTAGGAGAGGTTGAGGAAGCGGAGATAGACCAGGTGGCGCACAGCCAGGTAGGGCACAGCAGTCAGATTGCAGTGCGTGATGGATAGGGATGTCAGATTGAGACCATAGAGGCAGTTGGGTGTCATGGTGTCCAGATACGGCCAGTGGGAGATCTCCAAGACCTTGAGCCGGTACAACCTCTTGAAGGAATAGTCCCGGATGGCATTGATGTTGAGGTGCCGGAGCCTCAGGATGATGAGACCGTGTAGGTGGGACAGTGCCTCAGTGGGGATGGAGGTCAGGTTGCATTTCTCCAGTGTCAGCTGCTCCAGGCTGTTGAGGCCACTGAAGGCTCGATGGGATATGTAGACAAGGTCGTTGTCACCAACCTCCAGTGACTTTAGGTTGTACAGGTCCTGGAACATGTAGTCCAGCAGGATGACGATCTTGTTCTCGCTGATGTCCAGCTTGGTCAGGTTACTGAGGCCAGTGAAGACACCCAGGGGGATGAGCTTCAGACGGTTGCTGCGGAGCCCCAGTGTTCGGAGGCTGAAGAGGTTGTTGAAGGCGCCAGGCTCCACAGTGCTCACAATGTTCTCATTGAGCTCCAGTGCTTCCAGGTGTGGGAAGCTGGCAAACTCATCCTGGTTGAGCGTTTTGATGCGATTCTTGCCCAGGTCCAGCAGGCGAGTCTCGGTGGGGATGCCCTCGGGCACGGCCACAAAGCGCTTGCGGTGGCAGAGCACCGCTCGATCCTGGGCAGAGCACTCGCAGCGGGGTGGGCAGCCTGTGGCTGAGCCTGACAGGACCGAGCCCAGCACCAGCAGGAGGATGGGCTGCCAGCAGGCCAGGAGGGGGCTGGGCATGCTCTTCTCACCCCCTGACAGCATCCTCTTGCTTACCTACAGCCAGGAACAAACACAGGACAGAAGGAGCAGTTAGCAGTGGTTCTCAGCCTGTGGGTTGCGACCCCTTTGGCGGTCGAATGACCCTTTCACAGGGGTCACCTAAGACCATCCTGCATATCAGATATTTACATTACGATTCATAAGAGTAGCAACATTACAGTTATGAAGTAGCAACGAAAATAATTTTATGGTTGGGTCACAACATGAGGAACTGTATTTAAAGGGCCAGAAGGTTGAGAACCACTGAGTTAAAGGATAACATTTGGTTATAACCCACCCTCAGTCTTCCATGTGCCCTCTACCCTGTCGAAATGTCCTTGACACAGCCCTGACCGGTGTCAGTCAGTGGTTAGAGTGTCAGCCTGTGTGGGTTCAATTCCTGGTCAAGGGCATATACCTGGGTTACAGGTTCGATCCTCAGTCCTGGTGGGAGGGCATGTGGGAGGCAACCAATCGATGTGTCTCTCACCTGTTTCTCTCTCTCTATCCCCCACCCTTCCACTCTCTAAAAATCAATGGAAAGAATATCCTCAGGTGAAGATTAACAACAACAAAAAACAATTTAAAAAAAGAAATAGAAAAAGAAAATCCCTGACACAGACAGAGGCAAGGGGCTGAGTGGCATATGACACCTGCCTGGGACCCCACAGTGAGGTCCAGATGCCGGGTGGGGATGGGGGGCTCCTGCCATCCTATGCTGCTTCCTTCTTGTCTCTTACCTTGCCCAGAGTCCTCCTGAAGGACCTTTCCAGCATCTCTGGGATCAAGGGGGTTCATGGAAAGGAGAAAGCCACCTTAGAGGACCCTGGTATTGGCCCCCCAGCCTACACCACCTCCTTTACATTTTAGAGGTAGTGTGACTCTAGGTGTGCACTGTGCAGCCCCCACCCCCTGCATCCTTAGCCACTGCTTTCACTGGTGCTCATCAGGATAAAGCCAGATCTGCTGAGTTGTCCTTGGGACCAAAGGGGCTCAAGGCTGAGGCCTCTGGGGTCAGTCTGCAGAGAAACATATCTGGTCCCCAGCCTGAGGGCAAGGGCTTCTGAGGCTGCTAGGGACCCACCTCACAACCTGTAGACTGAGCTGCCCCAGATGTAGATACCATGGCCCCCTTCTCATAGGACTGCAGCTGAGTCCACAGCCTGAATCCTGTGCAATCAGCAAACCCAGTCAGTGTTCACGAAGCTGCTCTCCAGTGGGGTTTCTAGATCAATGGAGGGCACTCCCACCCAGAAAGCCAGGACTCAGGCCCATGCCTCCCATAGTGTCTCTCCAACTCCCCTTTCCTCTGGGTCCCCACAGTGACCCATCTGAGCTCAGGAGTGCAAGACACAGGGAATGAGTTTTCATGGCTTTGGCTCCTGCAGTTCTGTCCTCCTGGAATGCCATCCCCCTGCCTGTTTGAAACCTCATCTTCTGGGCCTAATTTTATGTCCACTTCTCTGAGAAGCTATTTCTGATCCCAAGTAGGAAGTATGCTCCCTTACAAAGACCCCTACAGCCTCCACCGCTCTATCTCTTGGGATTCCAATCACCTTCATCATAGTGCCAAGTTTTGTGCTGCTGCTAGTCTGAGGGAGGCAGTCAGACCCTGGAGGGACCAGTCCACACTGCAGGTCTGAGGACATGAGGCTTAACATAGCTGGGCCCTGGGGACATGCAGGACTTAGGTGGTGGTGACAAGGGTGATAGTGCCACGGCCCAGCTTGAGCACCAGCTGCAGGTGGAGTGAGCAAGGGGGTATGTAAAGCTAGCCCTCCATTACTGCCTTCCAGCCTGTGTACGGAGGCTCTTGCTCACACTTGTACCCAGATGCTCTCCCCATCTCCTCCTTCACTCCTCTGTTCTACCACATGAAAAACTGGCCCAGCAAAGCAAGAAGGGGACTGGGAGGGCTAGTCTGGGCTTCTCCAAACTCCAGGGGGTGGACAAGATGGCCTCTGGGAACCAAGCTGAAGCCCTCCCACCCCAGCCTGGCACTTTGGAGCTCTGCTGCCTGTCCATATCCCCTCCACATCATGGCTTGAAGGGGGAACTCACTACAGAAAAGGGAAGCCCAGGCTGGGAGGGCCCACCTCTCTGCCCCAGCTCAGGCCCTCTCTACCTCTTCCAGCTTCTCCCCACATCTGTGCACAACTTCCACTTTCAAGGCCACAGTTCTTTTCATCCACACTTCAACTCTTAAGGCAACTGGGGCTTGGGATGGGGAGAGGGGAGCTTGTAGCTGCCCAAGGACACCCAGCCTGTACAGGGGGGAAGATTTCAGATCGAAACCCTGGTCTGTCAGACTCCAATAGAGCCACACACTTTCCAATGCTACAGTCATCTCCAGGACTGACCGGTGCTTCCTGGTTGTAGATGGACTAAATGACTGATTAACCAGAAAGGGCTCTGGTTGTCACTGACATGTTATGGAATTGCAAGATTTTGTTATCCTCAAGGGCTTTATCCACCTTCTTCTCTTTAACTCCTCTCATTCTCTCTCTAGACCAGTGGTTCTCAACCTTCCTAATGCCGTGACCCTTTAATACAGTTCCTCATGTTGTGATGACCCCCAACCATAAAATTATTTTCGTTGCTACTTCATAACTATAATGTTGCTACTGTTATGAATCGTAATGTAAATATCTGATATGCAGGATGTATTTTCATTGTTACAAATTGAACATAATTAAAGCATAATCACAAAAACAATATGTAGTTATATATGTGTTTTCCGATGGTCTTAGGTAACCCCTGTGAAAGGGTCGTTTGACCCCCAAAGGGGTCGCGACCCACAGGTTGAGAACCACTGCTCTAGACTCTTCTGTAGTTTGTCCTTCCCCACCCCACCTCCACCTGGCCATTTTCCATAGTCAAACATGCTCCAATGACCCACTGGAAAAGGAAATATCCTGACAGGTGATCAATAATTGGGCTGACAGCTGAGGCCAGCCATGGTGTGAGGCTGGGGACCTGGAGAGGTTAAGAACTTTTAGCACTAGGGGCTGGGTTGGTGGGTGGGATGGAGGGGCTAGAGAGGTGGCTGAGGAATAAGAGGGGGTTAGCAAGGGCACAGGTCACCTGAGATGTTGGTAAGCCTCTCACACAGGCAAGAATCTGGTATTTGAAGACTCTACCACCTTGCCTCAACTTACCCACCTACCTCCTTTCCCACCACTCTGCCCAATGAAGCCACCCTGGTATTTCAGCCTTGTTCTCACATCCCTGCCTTGAAGCCATCTTTGTTTGGAGAACTCTCCCAGCCTCCTGCCCCAGCAGCCTTTGTGACCTTCTACCTCATCTCCTCCTTGACCTACTCAGTCAGAAATCATCTCTTGCCTACAACACTGAAGCACCTTACATTTATTAGTAGTGGTATTATCTAACTGATGTATAGTACACATCATTCTAAAAATGATTTGAGCCAATTGACAGAACATTTATGCAATGATATGATAAAAAGATAAAACTAAAGGAGGCAAGCCAGTTAGGAAAGAATGTCACAAAATCCTGAATAATAACTAAAGGTGAGAGCTTCCTGGTGACGTGAGCAAAGAGGGACCTATGCTCCGAAGCCTCAGCACATGGCCTTTCATCTATTCCATATGTTTAATTCTGGGTCAAACAGTCATGGGTGTATCTCACCTGCGAGAGGTTGCAGTGTCTAAGGTCAGCGGTGTGGTGCAGCCACCTCAGACCCCAGCGAATGTTCTTGAAATGGAGGTGTGTGTACCTGAGTTTTATAAGGATTGAAGTTCCTCTGATGGGGCTGACTCTGGAGCAGGCAGCTGAGCAATGAGAAATCTGGGGAATTCAAATATGCTGATAGAAAGCTGGTCAACATTGCCCTGTGTGGCTGCCACCCTCAGGCCTGGCAGTTAGACCCACAGAACAATGGTCCATGCTCCACAGGACCAGGAAGGCTCCAGAAGGACACATTCGCTGGATTGCCTCACCCCTTATCTTTTGCATGTGGCTATCCTGAAAGGTGGAGAAACTGAGGCCTGAAGAGGCTAAGGTGCTTGCCTAAGCTAATACAGCAGGAGCACAGCATGCCCAGAAGGTCCCTGTCACCTAGAGATGCTGGCAGGGTCATGTCTGAGGGGCCACCAAAACTGGCACCATTAATACTGCAGGTTATTCCTGCAATTCCCAAGGCAAAGTGTTTTATTTTGGATCCTTGCTCCCTGAAGGGCTTCCCACAAGGGTAAGAGTTTAAAAATTGGACCAATAAATACAAAGGAAATAAACATTGAAAGCATACAGATAGGCAGGCAGAGGAGTCATGCTGGGACACAATGCTCAGACCCCACAGCAGCCTGAGTCCTTCCAGTCCCAGAGCATGAGGGTTGCCTATCACCCCCAAGAGACCTATGCTGCCACCATCACACCCTCATTCATATCCTAGGGCAGATATGGCCCAGCTCAGCTGCTCCGCATGCCAACCACTCCCCTGTGTGACTAGGGGCATTGCCTGTCCTCTCTGGCCTATTTCCCCCACTGTGCAGTGAGAGGCTGGATTCCAGGTTCCCTGAGAAAGCCCACAATAGAAAATGTTCTTTCTCCAACTGGAAAGTCAATATCCTAAGTATTGTTGGGGGATTAAAACAAGTGGGGGCTCAGGCCTTCAATTGCAGTTCCACTGATGCTAGAAGGATCTGTTTGAGGGCATTCACACTGTGGCTGTTTCCTCTTGGGTTCAGAGTGGGAAAGGGCAACTGATGGAGACAAAAGGGGCATGGAATCATTTGTGGGTGGACTTGGAGAATCAGTGAGGAAGGTCAAGGGTGATTTTACCTCATTTGGCAGCCCACACAAGCCAATCATACACCTCCTCTTATAAAACAGCTTGGACTAACATCTGCAGAGCACATGCTACAGGCCAGGTTTGGGGCTTTACACACACTGTCTCAGAAACCCTCACACCACCATTCAAAAGAATTATTTCTTACCCACTTTACAGATGAGAATAACTGAGGCTTCCAAAAGGGAATTCATTTGCCTTAGGTCTA